ATATTTTCAATCAAATGTAGTAAAATAAAATAATTATACAATTATTATTTCAAAGATCAAAGTTCATTTTAATGCTTCAACATCTTTATTTTTTTAACTTTTATAATTTGCAGGAAAAAAAAATTGAATAAATTTTATATCTATTATTTTCATACAATCATTTTTCCTTTTTATTTTCTTTCAATTGTCAAAATGTATTGTATAAATAAAAGAAAAAAAGACCGTAAAAAATTTAACAACCGCTCCATCTGATTGTTGCTCCCTTCGTAAATTTTCACCTAACGGTTTATTTTGGCAGTAACGATGATAAAGTTGGAGGAATTTATTACGATGATTGAGAAAGCATTGGCATATTTCCATTATTGAATTTTCTGCTGCCAAAAAATCAGCCAAAAGATAGTTGCTGTGAAAATTTAACTGTAAAATAGGAAATATATGAAATTGATGAAAAATTAAATTATTAATTCTAATAACTAAACATTAAAGGTATACATTGCAAAAGAAAAAAGAAAACAATAAATAATATTCTATGCAATATAATGATTTTAATCATTATTATAACTGTGATATTGTATTATTTATTACACGATAGATTTTTTGTATTACATTAAATTTTTAAACCTTTCTAAATGAAATTATCGAATGAAAGAATACAAGAGATTGCAAGACTAACCAAGTCAGGAATATTACCAAATAAAATATCAGAACGATCCCTTAAATGTGCTTCTATTAAATGTTCATTTTCAGATGCTTCAAATGGCTTAATATAGAAATCAACAATCGATTGTAATTCACGAACATAACTTCGTTCCGTATTCACCTGAAAATTATAAATTATTAAATCAATAATGGTGAAAAAAACAAATAAAGAAATAAACCGGATCCAGATTACATTGCTAATCTAATTTTTTTGAAACTTTACTGAGGAGGATTTTTTTTTTTTTGCTCTGTAATGATAGTAATAATACAAAATAAAAAATAAAAATAAAAATAAAAATTTGCAAAATTATTTCAACTTACTAATTCAGAAATAGCAAAATTAAGGAGTGAAGTGGGCTGATCAGATCTAATTGTCGCATTAGTACTATTACTATAACAACCACTACTATTATTACCATTTCCGCCATCACCACTACCGTTATCGCTACCGCATTCAGCATTTTTTCCGCATACGAATGCATCATCACGACAATCATGAAGTACTTCAATTTGATGCTATAATATGGTCATATGATTAATTAATTAAAATACAAATTTCTTCTTATGCTATATTTAAGTATGAAAAAATTGTTTTAATCGATGAAATGATTGTACATTGTATATTATCGATGAAAACAAAATACTTTTTTCAAAGCCATTTATGCATTCCTTTTTTGACCTGTTAGAGCACTAAAAAAAAATTTGAATGTAAATATTAATACTAAAAATTAAACAACATTCTTTTGTTTCCTCGTAATTTTTATAAGATAATCTGATAACAAATTCATCTCACTATCAATACAATAACTTGTCATTATGAATTTGGATTGAATTGCATCAAGCATAAAAGACAAAAAGAAAGAGAGGGAGATGGAGAGAGAGAGAGAGAGAGAGAGAGAGAGAAAGAGAAAGAGAAAGAGAGATGGATAAAAATGAAAGATAAGAAGAACAAAACAAAACAAAACAAATACAAAAAGATAAAAATAAACAAACATCGTACCGTTTGCCGGATAACATTTGCAGGAGCGGACCACGATTTCGATTTGCGCATACGTGATTTGAAAAACATCACAATTTCAGAATTATTACAATTAATTAGATTGAAATGTTGCTGAAATTGTAAAACAAAATGATGAGAATGAGTAAAGAGTGGAAAACAAAAAGTTGACAGTAACAGATAAAAATGTTTGAAAATAAAAATTGATAATTTGAAATTGAAAAAAATTTCACAATATTTAAACGAATTATCAATTAACATTGCAATCAGTAATCAATTAATTTGTAATGGATATTAAGAATCAATAAAATTTTCATTTTTTTAATCATTTAAAAAAATAACTTACGAAAATTTAATTAAAAATATTTTGTAAAATGTAAAACTATACGTAAAAAAATTACCTAAATTAAGTTTTAAAAAAAATAGTAGTGCTTAATTATGAATGTGCACAAATTAAAGTTAGTTTGCAAAAATTACTTTCTAAAATGGAAATATAAGGAAAAAGTGACTGATTATCAAATTCAAATATATTTTAAAGAAATTTATCATGAATTAAATATATGAACATAAATTGCAACGTAAAATAATGTTACTATTATTTATGAATTATAAGCGATGATAATTAATTATAGGGAGATAAGGAAATAGTGAAATAAGTAAAAATAAGTAAATAAGTATTAAAAGAGAGCAATACACTCCACTACCATTGATAACTGATTTGGGAAAAAGAAAAAAGAATAGAAATTGAAATGTGAATGATAAAAAAGGTTTTTAAAAATATTTCTCTGACTTTTCATGCAGAGAGTGAAAAGTAATATAGATGGATTAATAGTAATATTTCCTATCAGAGAGAAAAAGAGAGGGAAGAAAAAAGAAAGAAGGAGAGGGTAGGAGAGAGAAAGAGTATAGTAATGAAGAAAGAATATAGCAATAATTAATGGTCAAAAGCCGGAAAATAAAAGTAGGAAAGGAAAAAATTAAAGAGTTTATCATGAAATGTGTATTTGTCAACCACTTCTTCATTTGACACAAACAGCTCTTTCAAATCTATCATTTCTTCCATCCATGCAATATTTTCTTTTCACAATTATTCAGAAAATTTATCGGAAATTTACATATAACATTATGAAATCCAAAGAAAAAGGATGAAAAAGAAATATTTGATGATTAAAAATCAAAAATTCCTTTTAAAGACATTCTTATGCTAATCAAAAGTAAATAAATAAATAAATGAAATGAAAATGTTGTCTGATAGAAATTAATGTAGCAATAACTGATGTATGGCAAATAAAGAGGAGAAAGATGAACAATTCATATCTTCATTGATAGTAGGATAGAATAGTCATTAAC